AAGTGAGGTCAAGTGACTTGTTCTCCGATTTTCGCAAACGCAGTGGTTCTCCGGTCGTCAGACCTTGGTAGGGTGCTCTATATAGGGTGGCTCAAAAGATGCAAGAATCATATCCAAGTTGTGCACTGGATGGCATGATTCTCGATTTCTCAACTTGTTGGTGTTCTTCAGATCCCCAGACACTCCATGGGACTGCCATATATGCCTACATTGGGGTGGTTTGAGGGGTCAACTGATCGGCATATATGGCAGTCCCATGGAGTGTTTGGGGATGGTTATTTTTTTCTCAGAACTCAGGCCAAGCATCCCTAAGACGTGATGAGCTAAAGATCAATCTATTCTGCAAGACGTGACCTGAGGAGAGCTCACGACCTGGTAATCAACAGGCTCACGACCTGAGTAGCTATCAGCACCTTCCGGGTCTTCGGCTTTTCAGATGGAAGGTTTTCAGTCTTTGACCCGAGCCTTGGAGGCTTTGGTTCAGTCCACAGAGACAAGAAAGAACACATGGCGCACCACTGTCTCAAGCACCCTTTGAGTGGACAGTCCAGCTGCGCTTTTGGGGTCTTGGTAGATTGAAGATGCAAGATCCAAGCCATCAAGACATAATCATGTCATATCAGATCAACAAGAACTCTCAGCAGTTCTGAGTTGTTTTTTTCTTTTTCTTTTTCACCCCCTGCCCAGAACATCCACGTCATCTGAAAACCGGTGCACTCCCTCTATTTCTACCAGGACCTCTTTGGTGCGGTCACCCCTCCGCACCGCACCCGTTGGACGCCGCGTGGGTTTCGGCTCAAGACACGGTCTTCGCGCGGAGTCCCGGTCGGGACATCAACGTGTGATGGACGGAATGCCAGGAGAGCTGGATCCCAAACACTCCATGGATGCCTAGAGCTGGATCCCATGAAACCAGCCAAATGCTGGTAAATAGGATTATAGGTTATACATGAAGTGTTTGGGGATGATGGCTGGAGATGTCGATGTCATCAGTGTTCCGCGGTTTTGAGAAATGGTTGATGAATGTTGATGATACTGTTGGAACCAGACCAGCAATACATCATAATACATCTATGCACTCGATCGTGTGCGGTTCCATGAGTGAAATATTCCGAGCTGGTGGACAAGAGAGTTTACATACAATACCTCCACCACTTGTTGGCCTGGGCGTATGAGATGCCAACGTATTGACTTTCGCATGAATGTGCAGTGTAGATATAATTAGATATATATATATGAATTAGTTGATATTATATATATCACCCCCCTCTCACATACACGTCAACAGTTGGGGATCAGGACTGGAACCAATAATCACGAGGGAATCCAGGATCCCAGGCAAGATACGCATGCCAAGCAACTACCCGACATCCCGATACAGACAGACTGATGAATATTATCACTTGGATTGCTGTCGTGCTTCATTGGTTCCTACTTGCTTTATGTTGGTGGCATAGTATTTAGCCCCTCCCTAGCCCGTTGCTTTGCCAAATCTGCAGGACAGGTGACGTTCGAGGAAGAGAACGAGCTCGAAAAGCAACCTGAGGTTGAGGCGAGGCGTGGGGTCGTAACCGGGTTCGCCATGCTCTTCGCCCGTCAGGTTTCGCTCAAAAGCCCGTCGCCAGTTGGATCGATTTCAGCAAAAGCACCTGTACAACTGCGACCTTTGGGAGCACCATTTAGAGATCCGTTGGGAGATCTTTTGGAGCACCTTCCATTTCAGTAAAAGCACTCAGTTAGATCCATTTGGGAGATTTATTCAATCCTTTCCGCAACCATTTTGGAGCACCTTCGCTCACTGATCTGCCGATCAAGTTAAACGAGTGCAATTTTTTCAATGTATACATGGTTTAGTGGCTCATCATGCGCGTACAGTACCGGTTCTAGTGCCCATTCTTTCCCTCACCCATTTAGTAATTTAGTGGCCTGGCCTTCCAGAACGCTTTGTACGCTGCTGCCCTCCGAGTGCACCGCCAAGCTCCTTCAGGCAGACGCTGCTGCGGAACGCACCGGCAGCCCAAAGGAGAAGCCCAAGTTGAAGGCCGTTCACCGCGACAGCTCGGGCGGTTTGAAGGAAACACCGAGTCAAAGAGCTCGGGGTGGTGTGGTGACTTAGTCCCATCCAGTGAGTGGATGTGACAGGGGCCCAAGGCGCTCCATGGAGAGCCACCCCTTTGGAACTGCTGGTTAAGGAACCCTAGTTGAATGATGTTGAAAGTAGAATCTTGATTAGTACCCCTCTCTCATTTGGATTGTAAAACCTCTTCATAAGGGGGGGAGTTGCTGTATTGATCAAGATTCTATACATTACACATGTTAGAGAGTGGAGAGCCTCAACGGCGTTGTTTGCGAGGATTAATTAATCCACATGATCTTTTGGGGTTGACGGGGAGCTCAATATCATTTATAGTTCATTTATAAATTGTCTAAATTTCCACAAAATTGTCGATCACAGGCTGCACCGGCATGAACTTGTTTGGGTAAGGAATTCCTACTGGCGATTGGGGGGTTGAATGATGCACCGCCACAGTTCCACCCCAGGCTAATGACATTGGACGAGATGCACCAAGATATATCACCGATACCAGCCCAGCACCTATCCAAGTTGAGTTTTGCAGCTGCACTCCCTCAACACCTGGAGGAACATGCTTTTCGAGCCATTGGTACTTCATGTGTCTTCATGTCCCTTGCAGGCCCACTGTTTTTTTCTCCCACTGTGCTATCCTCCCACTTTGGGCCGGATCTGCACCCCATGCCCCCTGGGGGGGAAAGATATGATGATTCACTTTCGCTCGATCCAATCTCCCTTTTCGAATGTCGGCCCCAAAGTGTCATATAGTGTCATGCGACGAGGATGCCCAAATTCCGCAGGAGTTTCAGTCCATGTTTCGTTTCGGGACTGACTTCATGAGGAGAACTGAACGAATGACAAACTTCACCTGAGTTTGCAACTGGTGTTTGAGTGTGCTAGGACAATCTTGGACATGAATACGAGTCAAGGGAACATATATATATATAATTTGTGTTTCCGGATTCGTTCCATCGTCTCGATTTGTTTCCATTGAGGCTTGTTAGGTCAAAGGCTTGCGGAATTTCAATTTGACCTTTTGTGCAACTGATCTCTTGTGATTTGCCTTGAGGGTTGAATCAGGCTGGATGATAGACGAAGGCCTCACCCAGTGCAAGTGGACAAGACTCCATGCAGACCAGGGTTCACCTGCATGCTGTGGTGCAGGGAAGGCCCTTGCCAGAGCGTGGCCACAGGTCCAGGCTACCTTGAAGCATAGTGATCCCTTCGCAGGGATTGAGGCGCTCACAATTCGCTGCGTGCTGCGTCTTTTGGCGGACCAACGAGGGAGGGAAAAGAACATCTACAGAGGGCTTACCTGGTAGAGGGGCAAGTGATCACGGGCCCGTGTTGTGTAGTCAAGCTACTGGAAATGAGTTCAGGTATTCTTTATCAACCGGCTGCCTAGGATGGAACGGGTGCTGTCTAAAATCGCCTCCCACATATGGATGCCCTGGACGTTTGGTGTTACACCGGTGCCCTTGGGCCGGTTGGCGGTCATGAATCAACCCAAGAGCGGATTGACGCTCAAGGTATGTCCTCTCAACATGCTCTCCCACCTTCAAAGATATGGGGCCTTGAATTCTAAGAACCCTTCAGAAGGTCACCTCCAAACAAACAGCGTTACCTTTACAAAGTGCCGCCTCAAACAAACAACTTCACTTGCATCGCTGGTGCCAGGATCGCTTGGACAAAATCAGTGCCAAGTTAGATGAAGCTTTGAGCACGAGATTCACGCCTTTGAGACCCAAGGAGCGTTCTCGGAACATGTCGTCTTCTCGGGGGTCACACCGGCTGAAAAGGAGGCAACCAAGGAGATGCATCCGAAAGGAAGCAGCACAACATCTCAGATACCAGATGCAGTAGTATCTATCTAGTATAATTTCATGACGGCTGGGAACCGTTGGGTAATTTGGAACTATAGGCTATACAAAGCTGTGCTGGATTCTTCTCATGTCAATTCTTGTTATGACCAGCAGGCAGGTGCAACAAAGAATTTGCATGTTTGGAGACCAGACTTGCTGATGTTGGATAAAGATATCAAAACAAGAGTGTTCTCAAAACAAGAGGGGTCCTCATGTTTGTTTTTTTCTTTGCATCCTGCACTGCACAGTGAAGCAACTAGGGGCTTTGACTGGATCCCACAATCTGTTCCAACTTGTCCAGTAAGAACATTTGAAGCAAGTCTCGTAGCAGCGGAGCATGACTTCCCCGGTTTGACCCCGTTTGATGTTGTTGCCGCTTTCTGCAGAGAATCTGTTTGATGAACCTGTCGCGTTCCATCGCCGGACCCCGCTGCAGGATGAATCTCCACCAGCTCCTCCCATCATTTGTCCCAAGTACCATGGCACCATGCGGATCGAGAGAGTCCAGGTCGACGGCTTCCAGGAAGGCAAAGACAAATGCGGCTATACCTGCTTCGGGTGACATGAGGGGTCTCTGTAGATGTGAAACTTCTTTTTTGTCCATATCCATGGAGAGATTTTCACAGAGACGATGTTCCAGGATTACCGAATCATTCTCCCACACCACCTGGCCTCTCAGAGGGTTTTCTCACCCTTTTCCACCACCTGTCCCACCGTTTTCGAAAAAAACGCCATGGCCCGAAACATCGATCTTGGCAGCCCAAAAGACCCCGGTTTCACCAGACGTCCCACCGGAACCCAGACAGGCGGTTCCTCCCAGCCATGATGAGTGTGTGGAGGACGGGACGACGGAGAGTGTACCAAAGAGACCGTGGTATCGCAACGCGTCTTGAGTTTTGGACCAAGATGTTTGTTTTCACCAGTGTCCTTGAGTGGCTGGAAAACCAGCGTCCCGGTCCCCACCTATACAGCCTAGCATTCACCACAAATGGTCACATCCCCCGCTTTAAGGTGCCCCTTTTGGTCCCGAAGCCAGTTTTTTGTCAATAGTGAGGCAACAAGAGAATCCCATCGGAACCAAACGTTGGGCCACGCCCTGCAGCATTGCTTTGAGGCCCTTTGCCTCCGAGCCGGTCATGAACGCGCGCACCACGCGGATGACGAAGGTCGTCTTTGAGCCTTGGGACGATGACGCCAGCGACGGGCTCTTGTGATCGATGCAAAAAATCCGAAGTGGCATGGCACCTCGAAAGTGCCAGGTGCTTCCAACGGGTCACCAATGGACAACCCTACCCTACAACCCTCTGAGAAAATGGGGCAACACATTCTTGAACTGGTTTAGACCGTTTCTGAGAGTCTTTTTGGAGGACTTGGGCTTTGCAAACAGCTGTTCGACTCCAGGGAGTTATCCTTCGACTTGTTTCTGCCCTATCAACTGGGAGATGTTTATTTTTCCCACAAAAGATGCCTTCGATGGAACAAGGTTTTTTCCCCCTGCAACACACATGGAAGTGGACCATCGCTTTGTTGTTCCAGTGGACCATGTCATGGGTCTTTCCAGGGGGCCATCCACTTCCACGATGGTTGGAGAGAGGGTCACCTGAATTGTCCGAGTCGCAGCCCTGGGAAACTGGGCCCACCACCCATAAGAGCTGGACAGGAAGGGATGGAGCATCTCCAAACAGATTAAGTAGTGAAAGCCACTACTTCTCCTACTTGTACTACTACTGAATCATGTTTGTTTTTATATAGTCTAATGATATATATTCTTACAAGTGGTACTTTGCTTGGCCGTTCATTTGCCTCCAGCATCTTCGCCAGCCGTTTTCCATGACCTTTGCCTATATATATAATATATATATATATAGCGTGTCACCGGCTAGGCTATGTCGCCGGCCATCCGGCCACTCGTACATCCACTCGTTCAGCCCAACAAGGACCCCTTGCCCAAGAAGTCCAAGTTCAACGTCAAGTTCCGTGGGAAGAACGTCTCGGCGCGGAGACCAAGACGAGAGACGAGACGGTACCGCGGTCGACACGGTTCGGTCGAGACGTCGGTCTACCGGGTCGAGACGTCGTGGCGGTAGCAGACGTTTAGGGCCGCGATGGCCCCGTCCTCACCTTCGTTTTAGGGCCGCGATGGCCTCCAAGCTCAGCCTGGGAAAAGTCGAAAGTTGTGGGTGGAGAGTTTAAAGAGAGGGTGGAAAGGACAGGACACAAGTGAAGGGGACACGTAGCTGATCTGGTATGAATTGATGGAGTTTGGCCCAGTTGGAGTCATGCACATACCGAACGGCAACAGGTTACTTCAATCCATCGCGGGAGCACTTGCATCCACCAATTCTCCTGAACATCCGGCGATCAATCATCTCGTTTAGCCGATCACCTGCTGGACATTGACTTGCTCCCATTTTCCGGACCACTGGACTGGACTCGCTGGACTGCTAGAAATCCCGTCCAGAATTTACAATTTTGGTTTCTACTTTCTACCCACCTTGGCATCCAAAAGTATCTTGCAAGGGGGAGGAGCAGTGATCCTGAGTTCCTCTCCGCTGCAGCTATGTTTGATCGGGTGTGTTTTCACATTCATGATCATAATTCATGGGACTGGGATGCATGCCTACCTGAAATATCCTGAAATTCACCGCCTCAACCTATACTAGTTCTGTAATTCGGTGATGTATGATGTTTTTGCCCGTTTGTGGCCAATCATGGGGCCTTTTGGCAGTGATCCAGTGTAATATCGCCATATATCCCCAATTGTAGTATAAAAAAACAAAAGAAACACACGCTTCCAATTCCTAGACCGAGGGAGAAGCGGAGTCGGCACCGTTGGCCTTGGCGGGGAACCACTCCTGGCCGTCGCCTTAGGCCATGGACGCCTCACTGTCGGAAGAGGACAACGTGACTTGGCAGACGATGCCAAAGAAAGGTGGGAAATGGTCCAAGCGATATGGCGCCAGGGAGACTTCTTAGGTGGTTTGAAGATGGATGGAAGGGCCCCTTCAAATCCTTAAATCATTAGATGCTTGGCATTTGTTGAGGGGCATGTTGATGTTAAAAGGATTTGGAGGCTATACTAATTACATGATCTCCACGATGTTTTGCCGCTGATCTTTGACTCAAAAGACTCTTACACAATCGCTTGTTTTGGATGAGAACCCGACATGTTTTGAAGTGTGTCCGTGGATGAGCCAGTTTTGCTCAGGATTCGTGTCCCGCTGAAGCGTGAATGATTGGTTCGTCATAGAATATTCCCGGATTGCGGGTACGGCACCTACTCTCCAGCAATCAACGTGTTCTATGATGTTCTATGTTCCATGAAAAGCTCTTAAGCAAATACGATTGCAACCGAGTCTTTTCCAATCACAAACCAGATCTGCCAGATCCCTGAAGAAGTTGTTGGCCCAAACGGTTTTTTCCGCTCCGCCATGGGAGTATGGCGGGAGATTTCATCCTCTGAAGAGGAGGAGGAGGAGGGAATTTTTTGGAACGTTTGAACCTGCGTTTTACATAATTTTACCATTGGCATTGTCCCCAGGACCTGCTGACAGAGGACCAAGCCGCTTATGTTCACTGCGCTGAAGAATTTGTGGCTGCTTCGGGTTTCTTCGCTGTAACCTTTCGTGGGGCCCTTTAGAGGTTCAAGCCGTTTTTTGGTTCCAAGGTTTTGATGAGTGGCTGAAACGCTGGAAGGGGCCATTTGGGTATATGAGTGATTGTACCTTGGCAAAGTGAGAGTTTCGCATCTGCATCTAGCCCTTGCTGCGATTCAAAGCTTCATCCACCCAAGCCTTTGATTTCTTTCGTGTGGAGGCAGTGGAATGGACACCCCTTTGATGGCATTGAATGCCCTCTTCGCAACTGGTGGCAAGATCAATGACCTGGAGTACTTGCACCTTGTCTCAACCAGTTGAACCTTGTGTCATGCGTCGACTTGCGCAAAGCTACCATCGGATGAAAGCATCCGCTGGCTCAATCACAGCTGATTTCCAGGAGCAACTCCGAGAGGGACAAGGGTGCGCGACGCTTCTTGATAAAAAACCACAAAAGCCCTCTCAAGCAACTTGGTTCAAAGGACTGTTTGAAGCAGTTCACTTGAAATCATTTGAGTTTGGGTTTGTCCTTACATGTTTAAGGTCACATGCGGACATCTTCGCTGTCAAAGCAGCGCACTATCGTGGGAAGGCCAATATATAATATACAGAGTGATCGGAAATTCATTCTGGTGTCCTCTATTTTTAAGATACATGCATCCTGATCATCCTGTGAGGCGATCATGTATGCATGCGGATTCCCTTGCACTCCGTATTCGATGCTGCACGCCACCCTGCTCCGGGACAAGGCTGCAAAGCCTCTTTTTCAGTGCATCCGCAACATCCGTGGAGCACAGCCACCGGCTGCTTGATCCACCAGGTATGCATGAACGTATCACCAACATGGAAAGCAAGTGTCAGGAAGGAAGGTATATTTATTGCCCTAAAACACCTCAAACATCCTTGGGCTAAGGTAGCATTGCTGGAGAACGTGAAGGGATTTCGGAGAGTCATTGATCAAGTGCTGGAGATCATGGATAAGAACCTTCCAGGGCACTTGGGTGAAACTTTAAACTACGATTCAGCTCAAGATGAGGTTTTGCTTGTCCCACCTCATCTTCAACCCTAGGTACGATATTTGTGTGACCGAAATTAACCCGTGCCTTTGGCCCATGTTAGGAAAACACACGATTCAAGAGTTTCCCAAGGAAAAGATACCGTGTTGTTTCCTGGTATCCAAGGAGCGAGTTTGGTTCACCGATCAGCCGCCCAAGATTCTATATCCTATTGGTTCGCACTGAGCTGATGGAAGCGGATGCTAGAAAGGACTTCGCTGCCTTTGCAAAGGGTCTTCTTGAGAAGATGAAACATGAGACTTTGTGGGATTGGAAGCTCTTCTGGTTTCAGAAAAAGGGAAATGATATGAAATGTCAGCAGGGGAATGCTGTATGATGTTTTGCAACCACACCTAACTGGTCCTAGGAAAGACCTGCTGATGCCGTCGAACCACTGGGCGGTGCACCATGCCATCGGGGAAAGAACCAGTCGTGTCAACAGGGTGAAAAAGAACCAGTTGAAGTCAAAGTCCAAGTTTCTTGTCTTAAAGTCATGGGGTCAATGTGCATCATGTTTTCTGAAAACACCCTGTCCATGCACATCATGGGTTGGAATGTGGCCGAGGCCAAAGAAAACCTTCAAATGGAAAGATCAACATGCAGAATGGGCCAAGAAGCACAAGGCCCCTAAAACATGATATCAATATTCAGATGTAAACTCACTCTTCACTGGCCCCGTTCATGTGAGATCATTGCACAGGTGAAGGGGGCAAAGGGCTACTTCAAGCAGAACTTTCCTGAGGCGGCCAAGCAAATTCTCTCGCCGCGTGAGGTGGATGCTTCTGGGCTGATGGTTTAAATGAACTGTCAAAGGTCCATGCTTCATCAAATTGAGAGAATGATCAACAAACAGTTGACGTTTCTGTATTGAATTGTCTTTAAGGCTTTGGACAAGGTCTTGAAGTTCCACAATGGAGAGATTCAAGCTGCGAATACTTCGCAAACCATTGGCCGCATGAGTTTGGTATTGGATAAGCCCAAGGTTCCCTTGATGTGCCTCACGTACATTCCTAAGAAACATTTCAACGTCATGCCAATTGGATGTTGCTCTATCGCGAATGGTTTTCTTGAGTGTTGTTCTTTAGGCCCAATGCGACCATCCTCCTCGTCAAGGAGCAGCGATTCCTCACAGGCCAGGCTGCTCACTCAGGCAGTCCGTGCCATGTCCTGAATGCGCAGGCGTGGAAGCGATGCTTCTTATGGGTCTGCCAGTTGATGAATTGACATGGACTCCCTTCTCCAACCGGGCAACCCGTCAGCAAACAAAATGAGTCGAACTGTTTCAACAGCAACACACAGAAAAAGTGTGTTTCAACATGCTTCAACCCTCATGCATGGCATGCAGAAACTGATACTCAGGAGCTTCTCAAGATGACTGGAAATGGCATGTCCATGCGGGCCCTCTATGCAGCAATGATTGTCGGGCTGATGGCTTTGAACCCCTTCAAGGTTCGGAAGTATATGCGTAGCTTAAGATAGGGGATTGCATAGCTGGCGACTTCCGTCGAAAAAGATACCGTCGTGTCTGCGCCTGTTGTTACTTTGAATGCTCAGCTCACTCGAAATTGCCTCATGACCCAACTGCCTCGGTCGCTCCCGGTCGCTCGCGGTCGCTCCAGATCTAAGGGTTGTTCACCAAACAAATCAGTGACCAGGTACCACGGAACAAATCAACCAAGGGACTGCTACACGCCATGTTGATTTACACTTATTGGTCTAATAATATTCATTTTACGAATGTGTCACAAGCCACCTTCCATCACACACAAATGCCCATCCTCGGCCGGTGGGATGAAAACGCTGACGATGGGCAAGCTCGTCCTGTACAGAAGCGGGCTGGGGTGTGGCGTTATGATGATGATGACGAACGGGAACCAAGTCCAAGTTCAAGTGCCAGTTCCAGTTCAGGGTATCTAGATTGCACAATGTGCTTGAGGGCATTGTTTTTGAAACCCCAACGCCAAGCAACCGGGTATCTTCAGCTTGCCATCTAAGGGATGAAAGCTCTGATTCAGATGAATCTGCTTCTGGAGTGGGGGAATCTTCAGAGGTTTGTCTAAAGCTTTCGAACTTGGAGTCGTACCATGCGGGCAGTGGTGATGCCTCGCACTATGCTGAGAATGGGGCAAATCCCAAAAGAATCAAAGCACTGCTGGATCATCCACCCTGTGATTGTGGTTGCCGGATGCCTTATCCACCGCTCCTCAAAGCATGTAGAACCTTTTGGGCTTTACCCAAGCATTCTCAAGATGCTGTGCTTTGGTCACTTCAATGTGGCAGCGGGCGCAAAAGCACATACACTATAGAAGGCAGGGTGGTTCAAAGTTCGGCTGGGGTTCTTGGATGTGCTTGCCTTCAAGCCGAGCAAGGAAGGAGTTACTGTAAACTAAGCCTTTCACCGTGCTCAGGACACCAACTATGTCGACAAGCATGGCTCACTTATCTGGGCATCGGCAAGGCACGTATGCAGCGCTGCAAGCGCACTTTCCGAGGGGTTGACCAGCGGACCATCAACCAGGGAGCTTTGTGTAAAACAACGTAACTTTTTTGGTTGTTCTTCATTACCTCTTCTGGGATCCCCAATTGAATTGAATCAGCATTTGTATCACACCCAGGAGCAACAGCTCATCCAGCGACACAAACAGCCTCTGCAATGAATTTCTTCATGCATTTATATTGGACAGCAGCTGAGAGTATGCCAAACCGGTTGCCTGACTCTTGTGAAAACCTTTTTTTGTTTCTTGGGTGAGTGGAAGGTACCAAAAGGGCGGGGTACTCGTTCCAATTGCGGTCTCTTCTGACACAAGGTTTGAATCGTGCGACACTGCTATGCGTTCCCGGTCTGATGAAGACCTTCGAGAAGAGCTTCTACGGAAGCTAGTGGATCGGCATTTGCTGGGCCCCACCCAAGAGATTCTAGTGGAAACTGATATACAGCGCCTACCAATACGGGAGCTCCCACCTGGGAACACATCATCCCTGTATTTGATGTACCTGGCATACATGCGCGCAGCTGGAGGGGAAGCAACGCCAGCAAGCAAATCAACGTTCTTTGAAGTGGCTAAAGCATGGAAACCCTGCTTGCGCTTCCGTCGCAAATCGGATCACGCTATGTGCTTTGAGTGCAGCAGACTAAAGCACCAAATCCAAAAATGCAAAGAACCTAAGCGGCTTTATATAGCTCTTATTGAATTTTTATATACAACAATATCTCATAAAGCCAACCTCCCATGATGGTACAAACTGGTTGATG